CCCTCCTCTCTCTCTCCGTGAGTCAGGCGCGCGCGCGCCCGCGAGACGTGCTGCTTACAAACACTCGCACGCAGTGTGAATTCGGGAAGAACTCCGCGAGCGAGTAAACAAATAATCAGGACCGACAGCGAGAGAGGCAGCAGCAGCAGCCAGTTCGCGGTGCAGTGGCAGTGGCAGGGCAGGGCGGGGCCGCTCTCAGGGGCCGCTGCTGCAGCCCTTGCGGAAACGTATCTCAACAGCCAATCGGTTCGGTTCGGTTCGGCTATCGGTCCGTCTGTCTACGCCGAGGAGCAGCAAGGAGGAGCAAACGCACAGGAGACGGGAAAGTCAGGCACGCAGGGAAAGGAGGGCGGCCGCCCCGGCCCCGGCCCCCGCGGCAGACACCCGCGAGAGGGTGTTGATGATACGGCGGCAGCCCAGAAAACAAGCGCGGCATGACGGTTTGGAACGGCGGCGCTGACGAGACGGCGGCGCACGTCACAAGGAAGGGGGGCCTCATTAAGAATTGGCGCCGAAACAGATCCAGGGGAGGACTTCACGGAGGTGGCGGCAGGCAGGCCTCGTCTCTCAACTTGTTCTCTCAACTTCAACGCGTTGTATTGCCATTTAGTTTTGCACTGCTAAATTTAAGAGTAGGCAGGATGTGATGAAAGGGGGGGGGGGGGTTGACCCTTCCCGCCGCTCTGCGCCGTATGTGCCCTCTATTGTCGTACAGGAAAAATAAGAAAAATAACAAAACGCCGCCAATTATTCCACTTTTTTTTTCTTCGCTTTCAAAAATTCTGCGCGCGCACACAGAAAACCGCAGGAAGGCCCCACCCTCCGCTATTCATCCCGATCATAATGTTGGCTTGGCTTCCGCTCGGCCTATTACACGGGGGATGCAGCGTTGGCAATCCTTCTCCCCCCCCCTCCTCGACGGCCACTCCCCCTTCCGGCCGCCACCCCTATCACGCGCCGGCAGCGGCGGGCGGCTGATACTGAACCAGCACGGCGGTCGCGCGCGCTTTCACGCCGCGGGCCTCGCGGGCCGAATGGGCGCAACTTTCCAGTCCTTCTCGTCGTCACAGCATTTACTTTACACAAAACGAAAAATGGACACAACAACATCAAACGATAAATAATTATAAACCGCACCACCAAGCAAACCTTCAACCCCCGGTCAGCCCCACATGAGCCGCCTAAAGCGCCTACGGGTAGTGCTTGTTACGCCACCCCCAGGGTACCAACCCTCCAGGCCTGCGGCCAGGTACCGCACCTGATACATCGCTTGCAGATCGTGCTGCTGCTCGCACGGGATCGAGCTCGCCGCCGGGCCGCATTGTCCCGCTCCGCAAAGATAGTTTACGCGCAAACCGGCTATTTTTGTCAAGGGAGCAGCCCCTCCGCCTGCCTGATCCTGAACCGGCGAAAATCCGCGAACCGCGCGGCGGACCACGCGCCCCGCCGGTGAAATCATCGCCGACCTCGCCGACCAGCACGTTTGACGGCGACCGCGTGTGCCCTCGACGCCCCCGCCCCCCACCACCCTCTCCTCCTCGGCCTGACAACCACAGCGCCGTCAGCCAACTAGCAGCGCGACGCACGCACGTACCTGGGGAGCAGACGACGAGCAGCAGGGCGACGCCGACGAGGGTCGTCACCTCCGGGGCCATGGCGATGAGGCCGTCGTGACGCTCATGGGGAGCGCGCGGTGCGGGTGGTAGGTGCCCGTCGGGGGCACGACGACCTGGTGCGCGGCGCGGCGCGGCACTCCCGTTGGGGGGGAAGGACTGGGAGGCTCGCGGCACTACTCCGCGGCGCACTCACCTCCGCGGGCCAAGGAGTACTGGCGGGAGGGCGACGGCGGCGCGGCGCGCGCGGGCCGCCA